ATAATAAAGTGTGCATTTTAACTAGTACACAAAGCACCTTGCTTAGGCACTACTAGGAAGGACGCAAAGTGGAGTTCGTTGATTAGGGTTCGCGCTGAGTCGCTTGCGCGGCGGTCGGGTGTGGTAGAACAACAAATCAGTGTTTATGCGGATATCGTCCTAATATCACCACTACATTGCACTAATACTTTCGATGAGGTAGAAGGACAAAGATGAGAAGGAGATGGGTGGGAGATGCAAGCAAAATTCATGTAAAACTTTGCCCATTTCTTAAGACATCCTAGTGGTATGTCATGACTCCTTGGAGCGGTAAAGAGCGTTAATAACATTCAGCACCACAGACGTTTTGAGGTCACAAAGCTGCCGTTGTTGGCAAATGCAGAAGGCACTTCGTTGGCACCTATGAGGATGTGACGAGTTCCTCACTGTCCCTTTCGTGGCCTGCCTGCGGTGTCGCCATGTTGACTGACAGCAAAGCAAGCCGTTTTGCACACGATGATTTTCTTCTCCCATTCCAATTTCTGCTGTGACATGGGGTATGCCACGCACCTTCTCCTGCTATTAACTTTGTCTCGGCACATGCAAGTGCACAACGAAACTGCTGCGAGGCCAGTGGCATAAGCTGCTATTACTGTTACTAGTAACATTGGCAGCCGGTAGGACGTATTTGTTGTTGTCGTTCGCCTTCCTCTTTTCTGTAGCGTCTTCGCCTCCCACTCCACTTTCGCCCCTCAAGTGTGGCTTTGGCAACCAACTTTATAATACGCAAAGTCACACTCATTTTCCCTTCCTACTAAACTGAAATTGAGTCCCCCACTGCCATTTGTGATGGTGCGCTTTTGATATGATCTCTCCTCACATTGACTCCTCCTCCATCACTTCTCCATCCGCCTCAAATTCGCCTTACTATAGGCAATTTTCGGTATGCCCCAGCTCACTTCCCAAAGGCATTGTCGGTTGTGACATCAAAACGCAGTTCTGGCCACAATGTCAATATCTGGATGATGCGATTGCATTGAGGTGATTTTGTGGGCACTGTGGCACAGCAACTGGTGAACATGTATGCTGCGTTTGCTTGATGATGACAAATGTTGCTAAGTGAGTGCGTTGTCAGACGAAGTTGCCCATCGTCGTCTCACACTCATCGACCCTGTTTGGGAGATGACTTGATGTCTACTTTATTCTCTCCACTTAAGCAGTTGTTACTTCTCCTTGTTTGGATTCTTTCACCTTCTCTTGTGTTTGTCCATTCACGCACGCCAGCTTTGCATTCCTACCCTTACTACATCAACATTTGCCTGCTTTTCTTTTTCAGCTTGGTCAGTCCTTATTAGTGCACATGTTGCATAGGTGGTTTGACTGTCGTTGTGCAGTCGGTTGTCGCATTTTACAAGGTGTGCTCTAGTCTGAGCGTGATCCTTCACTTTCCACATTTGATGGTTGTAGCAGTGGTGAATTGACAAGAGATAGAATCTGAAGTAGTGCGTTTCTGTACTCCTAGCCGCATGCTCCTGCGTCTCATCTTTCATGTCTCAAACAAAAGTGGCAGTAGAGGGAAGTCAGCGAGCAATATCTTAGCTAAGTCGCACATTCTCCATGAAGTAGTGCCATAGTTCACCCTACTTATTTTTTTACCCGACTTGTCTTTATTCCACTATTGTTAGGCAGACCTTTATACACATGTCTCTGCTCATTTCCTTCACCCTCCTCCTCCTCCTCCTTCTCTCCCTTGTGCTTATACTCAGACGGTGTGTGCACACTTCTTACCCTCCTTTCCTTCTACTCTCTCCGCCCTCACTTCTTCACTGAGCACCGAGGCGGTATCCTTGCTGGACTCTCGTGTCGGTGCACAACCAGCTACTGGACAGGAACCTTGCTCTCCAACACATTACAACGTCTCATGCCCTTGACATGTGCAGCAGCAACAGTCGCTTCGCCACTGGAGGGCATAGGGAAGGAGTCCTATGGCTACCTAAGCTTGCACGTGAGTATGGCGCGATCTATTGTCTTAAACTGCTTTCACATATAAACCACGCACACATATATCCCATTTCCACTGCTAGTTGCCTGGATGCCTTCAATCATTTGACATTATCCATCTGAGCGGCAATCTGGATAACTTGTTCATCACCGATAGGGGGCACCCTTTCCTGAACTCGACCGTGCATGCGACTAATCAGGATCTTGCGTGTGAATACTGATTCGACTGATGCGCATACACGCACACACGCAGGCATAGAGGCTGCTTAAACTTTTACCCCATCAACCCGCTCTAGCAGCATGTGTCACCTCCGAGGTTGCCATCTCTGCTTAGGGAGGTGCCCTTTCATTCGCTCTACTTCTGCCAAGCAGAACGCAAGCCAGAAGGTGATCCCTCAACATGAATTGGGCTGACAAATACAGTTATAAAACGCGGTAAAGATGTGATTCTCTTCCATATCCACCTGCTGAAGTGCCGCAGAAGAAGGTGATGTGCAATCTGGATTACAAAGTGCACAAATCAAATCTAATTGCGAGATCGATTGTAGTTAACTCTCCAACCCTTCGCTGGTAGATCGCCTCACTATATCCGGCAAAAGTTCTTTGCGATGACACCTGTGCGTTCACTTCCATGCTCTTAGATTCCATTGCCTCATTGCATTTGTCCTCTGGGCATTGCTGAATTGGCCACTATCGTAGTAGGTGCACACAAGGTGTTGTGCTACTTACTGATTATGGTAGAAATGCTGTGCGCAAGACTGACTCGGTCAAGGTTTTGAGATAATTCCCTTAAAGTGTTTGCCACGGGTACCGATTGCTAGAAGTGGGCTCAACAGTGACGGTGCATCGCAGCACCAAGGTTGCTCTCATTACTCGCTAGACAGTTGCGTCAAAATAGTGGTCATGATGACGACCACACTAACAAACGTCAGAGGAGTGGTCCTTAAAGTCGATGAAAGGGCGCACTCTTTGCAGCGTCAGCCTGACGCGTCGAGTTTTCACAGCGCTTTGTAACCATCTTAACACTCACTACACTGCCACCTTGCAAGGATGAGAATCATGTTAGCGGTTTGAAGTAAAGACGTTAGAACTCAGACAGTCTATGTGAGGCGTTGTCACTAGCGGTAGCTGGTACACTTAAGGGCACACAGTTGCCTTATGGCATTTCATCTCTACAGCCCCCACAAAAAAGTGCAGAACGCATGCAAATTAATGGACCCTCGTTGGGATGCGAGAACAGGAACCGTAAATCCGTTGGCCAAGTCAAACACTCCTAGGTGTGGCAACATGCTGTGATCTCGCTTCTCTTCTACAACTGCACCGAATGAAGCGCACGCATTGCGTTTGTAGTTTATGCTTTAGCCTACAAAAATTTCACTTTTGTAACGAGCATAGCGTTAGCGCATTCTCAAGTGCACTGTCAAAAGGGCAAAAGTCAGCTGAACTGCAAATGTCGTGCAACTGCAGGGCGAGGACAAGGGAACTGACTAAGCTGACGAGCGTGATATGTGTTGGCATTCGGAAGTGAGATAGTCAACCACTTTATTGTAAGAAGAAATCACTACACGGGAACACAGGCTGCTAGTGCACATTGCCACACCAAAGCCAAACAAGGCATTCGAAGCAGAGGTGCCACTAAATGGTCTTGGATAGCACAAGCGCTTGTGGCCTTACTTTGCTGAGAAAGCTTGGAAGCTGAGGACAGCCTTTATGCGCGGTTGACCTCATCGCTACTACGGGTGGATGGGAGGAAGAGCCAAAGGCCAAGAATTTCACACGTTCATAACTGTCTCATACATTCTCGACTGATTCCTCATATCACAACACTCGCCAGCCACTGTCGACCTTTCACTGCAACAAATGGTTGTTCACTTCTTTGCAGTGCTACAATTTTCCATCCTTAAATAGGCATTCGCCCTCCTGCCTCATCTGTTCAACTTGCTTCATGTGTCCACCCAATGCTCTTAGTTCGAAAGTGTGCGCACCTAGGAGTTTTGGCTATCACATGCTGCGATGTCCACTGATGTGGCGTTTGCACAGTTGAGGCGTTAGTAAAATTGAGTATTTTTGATGATGGAGGTGACTGATGCATTGAGTGATGTGCTAAATCGCATTGAGTAATCAAAATGCCTCGGTAAGTCGGCTTGGTCTGCTGAGGGTGCATCTGTGCCAGAGACACACGGAACGTAGTATCTGCGAATCGGCAAGTGCGACAAAGTCAGCAGTAACCTTGAACAAATAGCACACGCAACAAATGGGAATGGAAAAGACGACTATTTAATTCTGCTACTCCTCCTCCTCACGCCAACATCCAATTTGTCATTACAATTCCACTATTAAATCTTTGCAGTGAGCACCTAGCATGCGTTGCTACACAACAAATAGATTTATAAATAACAGCTCGCAGGTGCGTGTGTGTGTAAAGGCATGTGATACAACGTTGAGTCCACACAAAAAACCGACTTCAGGCAGGCGGGGCCATCGTGCAATGCGCACTACAAACGTCAGGGACGATTTGTTCAAAACTACCCCAATGTGAAGGCACACCGTTTTGAGC